GTGAGGAGATGCGTGCCGCCAAGGTGTCCGTGCTGCGGCCCGGCTCGGACTCCGAGCTCGGCGCCGGAGCCGTCTACGCCTGCTGGACCGACGACGAGGCGCGCTCCACCGCGCTCAGCAGGCAGGTCGCGCACTACACCGGACAGGCCGAGCTGGCGGAGGCGATCCAGGAGGGGCTGGCCGCCCGCAAGTCCGGCGACACCGCGACGGCGACCGCGCGCCTCGGTCGAGCGGTCGCCCTCGCCGACGAGTCCGGGCACGTCGACACCGCGCGGCTGCTGGCGCGGGTCGTCGAGGTCGTCGACGCCCCCACCGGCACCGTGCGCCTGCGCTCGTCGGTCGCCGCCGAGGACGAGATGAGCCTCGACATCCGGTCGGTGCGCACGCGCCGCACGCGGGGCGAGGGCTGAGCGGTGCCGCACTGTCCCGCGGGTCACGCCTCCGCCGACGACGAGTACTGCGACACCTGCGGGCGCGCGATGCCGGGCACCGGGGCGCTCGCGGCGTACGACGCGCCCGCGCCGTCCGACGACGACCGCGAGGCGGTCGGGGCGGCGGGTGCCCCCGCGCCCGCCGCCGAGGCGTGCGTGGTCTGCGGCGAGCCCCGCTCCGGTCGCTTCTGCGAGGAGTGCGGTCACGACAACGACCTGCCCGCACCGCCTGCCCCCACGACCACCGCCGCGGGGTGGACGGCCGTGGTGCGCGCCGACCGGGCCTGGTTCGAGGAGGTCCGCGCACGCGACGGCGAGGACGCCGACACCCTGACCTTCCCCCGCGACTACGCCGAACGACGCGTCGAGCTGGCCGGCGCGCAGCTGTCGATCGGCCGGCGCAGCCGCTCCCGCGGCACCGATCCGGACCTCGACCTCGGGGCGACCGACCCGGGTGTCTCGGCCCGGCACGCGGTGCTCGTCGCGCGCGGCGAGGACGGCTGGGAGGTCGTCGACCTCGCCTCGACGAACGGCACGACCGTGGGCGACGCCGCCGACCCGATCCGCCCGCACGTCGCCGTGGCGCTGGCCGACGGCGACCGGATCAAGCTCGGCGCGTGGACGACGATCACGCTGACGGCCCCGGACGGTCAGTCGCGGTAACGGGCCGGCGGCACCGCCGGGAGCGGGACGAGCACGCCACCGAGCCACCGCTGCTCGGACGCGGTCAGCGCCCCGCTCGCCCGGTCGCGGTCCAGCACGGCGTTGACGAACCGGGTGAGATCGGCCTCGGCAGGCGCCAGGCTCGTCCCGACCGCGTACTGCGTGCTGGCCAGTGCGCGCCCCACGACCACGCTCTGCGGGTCCTGCGCGGCCACACCGGCGAGGATGCCGTCGTCGCTCGACACCGCGTCGACCCGACCCTGTTGCATCGCGACCACGCAGTCCGGGATGCCCGGCATCGTGACCACGTCGAGACCCGCACCGAGGTCGCGCAGCACCGCGACGTTGGTGGCGCCGGTCGAGGTGCACACCCGCCGCCCTCGCAGCTGCTCGATCTCGGTCACACCACTGCCCGCCGGGACCAGGACCCGCTGCGAGGCGGTGATGTAGGGGGTGGAGAACTCGACGGAGCGCTGGCGGTCGCAGGTCACCGTGAAGCTGTTGACCACGACGTCGACGTGGCCCAGCACCGGGTCGGCGAGCCCGCGATCGACCTCGGGACCGGAGCGCTCGAGCAGCG